ATAAAAATACCTAAAAAATTACTGAGTGGAATTTTTTAAAAAGTTGATATAGTTGTAAAATCCTGATCTTACTGTATTTACAAAAATGGCAAGGTAAATTTTTATCTATTAAAAATTTTCTCGCAAAAAAATATATGTATATACCATGTTTATTAAACCTAATTAAAAATAAATAAAATTTTTATTTCAGCATGAAGAATAAATAATGAACACCAAAGAGGTTAAAGTTGGATAGTCAAATTCAACGTAATAGTCAAGTTATCGAATTGTAGGAGTTTCATCACATATGGTGCCTCACACTCATCAGATGAAAAAAAAAAGAAGGTCGATTTTGTTAGATTATATTATTAGACTATATTATTTGAATTAGATTTATTTTCTATTTGAATTATGATTTGAGATTAGGTAGTGATAAAGGGAGAATTTCACTTAAAAGACACGTCATCATCGGTTCGACAAGAAGCCATGTGTACAAGCTCGGAAGCTGGTTTGGAGAGCTTATACAGTAGAATTATCGAACTTGATTATTCATATTACTGGAATTTCCAAACTCGATCCCAACGTTCGAATGGATAACTTTGCAACAACATTTCACCTTTAATGCGTAATTCATGCCTATAATCTTGGTGGTGAACGTGTATTTGAGTTCTTAATGCCAACGCCCTTTATAAATACCCTTAAATACCCTTAATAAATACCCTTAAATCAAAAGGGAAAGGTATGCAAACTTTTGATAACTCCTTTTTGGAGGATCTTTTATCTTTTAGTGTTCTTGGAGATCTTATTGCTTTAGTTGGAATTTTTCGATTAAAACAGCTAGATTAATATTTTGATTATATTTTATTAGTATAAATAGGTTATTATCAGATTGAATGTTCTTTTAAGAGTCTCTTCAAATAAAAGACGTAAATCAGATTGAGTTCGTGAGTCATTTGTGTGGTCCACAAAAGTTTATTTTATTTTATTTTTGAATGTCCCAGGTTTATTAATCAAAACATGAATGAATTATTCTGGGTGGCATGAATGCCATTCAAAATATGGTATTTTATTTTTAAGAGAAATTTTATGTATTTAAGGAATTTAATAAACTCCAAAAAGAGAACACTACTCAATCTCCTATTTGTTTTTTAGAAAAATTGTGAGTGGTTTTTGAAATGTATTTTAAGTGTTTTATGATAAATTATTTTTAATTATTAAAATTTATTTTAATGGGAAATTTATGTATTTATGAACTTAAAAAAAATCCACAATGCTAATTTTAAAATTATTGATTGTTATTGTTGGTAAAGTAGTTGACTTTTTGGAACTTTGTAAAATTATATTTTGGGAGAGATTTCATGTATTTATGAGATTTTAAGAAAACCTATGAGGAGAATACTACTAATTAAATATTTATTTTTTTCAATTTATTTGAAAATTATAGGGGAAAAAATTGTACTTGATTAATTTTCTATTTTTTTATTTTGACATTTTATGTTTAGATACATGGAGAATATAAAAAAATATATAATAATAAATTGCATAACATCATGATTTTAATTCCTATAAAATAATAATTAACAAGAAAATAAATTAGATCTTTCATGTTATTTAATAATAAAAAATTTAAGTGAAACTAACAGAACAATTAGTTCAATTGATACATATTATAAGATAGAAAAGATAGATGTCAGCAAATTAACTAATATGTGAAATTAAAACAAAATATATTCCACAAAATAACACTAACAAAATAAACAGTGCAACAAAATTGCATTCCCCCTATTCTAATTTAAAATAATAATAATTAAATAAAGAAAATGAAAGGAAATTTCAAACGTTTCCTGTGGATTAGAGACTAGCAACTAAAAGGAGGAAGAGATTTTCAAAAGAATACCTTCTGTATTTTTTTGTGGGGATAAAGAGAGAGATTTGCCTCCGTAAAAAAATTGGAGATTTTTGTACGGAATATTTCCAAATTGACCCCAAGATATTTTGGAGAGAATTCCCTTTAGATTTCAATATTCCACCAGAAATTGACAGAGACCTCCCTATATTTTTCTTCTTATGGACATACACACTTACCAGAAAAAAGAAAAAAGAAAAAAGAGAGAATGTGGGAGAATTTTGATGGGAGAAAAAGATGAGAATGGGAAAATGTAGCCAAGGGAAAATGTGAAGAACAGAACCGACGGAGGAAGAAAATTTGTTGGGAAGAGGGAGAATGTGAGAGGGAAGAAGATATTGTTTGGGAGAGAGAATTTTACGAGAAAGTGGGGGAGAGAGAAAGAGGGAAAAAATGGGAGTGGGAGAAAATTAGGGAATACAGGTATAGAGAGGATTATTTTTAAAAGATATTTTATATTTTATATTTAATTTTTAATACCAAAATCAAATTTTATAATCAGTTTTTTAGTGCCGTTTTTCTATTTTATATATATATATATATTTTTTTTTTCTTAATTTCAAAATATCTATTTTACAAAAATTCCATTTTAATCCTTGTATTTTTAGAAAATGAACGTTTTGATCTATGTTATCCACAATAAACACACTTTGCTACAAAAGCTATATATGATAATATTTCAGGAAATTTACTAAGCGTAATGTTTTTTTTTTTAGATTGTAATCGAGAAAACTGAGATTAAAAAAATAACGAGAAACAAAAATCACTCTTTAAAAATATATTGACCAAAATAAATGTTTTGAAAATATAACAATTAAAATATAATATTTTTCATAACTTTTTTTCTTTAAAATTTCATCTTTTATAACTTTTCTTTCTCCTCGTAGTCTATTTTTTTCTGGTAAAATTATATTTTATTTTCTCGTTCAATTTTCTTTCACTGTAACTTTTATTTATCTTTGTATTTATTTATTTTCTTCAAAATTTATATTTTAAATCTTGTTATTATCTACAAAATTTGTTTCAACTATAATTTTTCTCTTTCTTTATAATTTCTTTTTTTTTTTCCTTTAACATATTTTTTCCTCTCGACTTTATTTTTTTTCTACAATTTTTCTCCTTTTGTCTTTAACTTTTCTTTCGCTATTTTTTCTAAAACTTTTTATTTATCTCTGTAAAATTTATTTATTTACATCTTTTTAAACTTGTATTTTCATGTCTCTACATTAGGGGAAGATAAAAATTTTCGTAGGGTCAGGTCCCAAAAATAGGAAATGCATGTCCCGACCCCATCCCCATCCCCGATTCCATTTTTAAAATAATTAATATATATTTATTACATATTTTTTATACTTAAATTCTAAAAGTAATTAAAAAAATATAAAACCGATAATTTTTCTCGAGAACAACTCTTAGACTCAAGAACGAGGTGGAGACAGAGACTAAAAATTTTCACGAGCATGAGAATAGAGGAGAGCATCCTCGCTCATACCCACACCATTGTTATCTCTACTCTACATAAAATTTTCTCTCTCTAATATGTATTTTCAATTTTCTAACTTTTTAAAAACAAAAGACAAAAAATGTTACCAAACATGTTTTGGTTTTTTGTTTTTTTAAAACAAAAAATAAAAAATGGTTATCAAACATATTTGATTTTTGTTTTTTAAAAACAGAAAACCAAAAACAAAAAACTAAGGGCCCGTTTGATAACCATTTTAGTTTTTGGTTTTTGGTTTTCTTGTTTTTAGTTTTTGGTTTTCTGTTTTTAAAAAACAAAAACTATATATGTTTGATAATCATTTTTTGTTTTTTGTTTTTAAAAACCAGAAAACCAAAACATGTTTCGTAATCATTTTTAGTTTTTTGTTTTTAAAAAGTTAGAAAATTGAAAATACATATTAGAGAGAGAAAATTTTATGTAGAGTAGAGATGACAATGGTCTGGGTGCGAGTGAGGATGCTCTCCCCCATTCTCGTACTCATGAAAATTTTTAGTCTCCGTTTCCACCTCGTTCTTGCGTCCGAGAGATGTTCTTAAGAAAAATTATCGGTTTTATAATTGTTTTTAAGTATTTTTAGAATTAAGTATAAAAAAAGTATAATAAATATATATTAATTATTTAAAAAATGGAATCGGGTACGGGGACGGTGTCAGGACATGCATTTCCTATTTATTGGACCCGACCCTACGGTAATTATTGTCTTCCCCTAATGTAAAGACATGAAAATACAAGTTTAGAGAGATGTAAATAAACTTTTGAAAGATAAATTTTAGAGAGATAAATAAAAAAATTTACAAAAAAATCGTGAAAGAAAAATTAAAGACAAAAAAAGGAAAATTGTAGAGGAAAAAAATAAAGTTGAGAGGAAAAGATATGTTAAAGAAAAAAAAATTATATAGAAAGAGAAAAATTATAGTGGAAACAAATTTAGAGATAATAACAAGATTCAAAACATAACTTTTAGAGAAAATAAATAAATACAATGATAAATAAAAGTTACAGTGATATAAAATTGAAAAAGAAAATAAAATATAATTTTCAGAGGAAAAAGAAAAATTATAAAATATGAAATTTTAGAGAAAAAAAAGTGAGGAAAATTATTAAATTTTTAGAGAGAGAAATGAAACTAGTGTGTTAGAAAAAAAATACATAAAAATTTGGAGAGAGACAAATAATAATAAATATTCAAAATATAAAAATTTTAGAGAGAAAAAAAGAAAGTTTGTAGAGGGAAATTTAGAAATAAAAAAATTTTAGAGTGAGAAATAAATTTTTTAGAAATAAATACGAGAAAGAAAAAAAAAGTTGAGTATTAGAAGAAAAAATGAGATTTTGATAAACAAAAACCTGTTTTTGAAAACTACTTTTTTTTTTTTATTTTTGAAATTTCAAAAACTACTTTGTTTTGAAATTTAAAAATAATTTTTGAGAAAAAAAACAAAAAATTGAATTGGTTATCAAATAACCTAGGTTATCGACATAGATTCGATCGAACTGGATCAATTAAACTACAAACACAAAATTTAAAATAATAACAAAAATAAATAAAAGAATAAAAAAAAGGTGTGCCACGTGTCTCTCGTATCTCAAAAACGCAGAATCCCTAATCCAAAACTTCTTCGAATTTCCTTCAGTTCAATTATTCCTAGAAAAACAAAAAACAAAACAGAAAATGGCGAATCTCCTCCGAAAATCCCTAATCCAGTGCTCCGATTCTCTCCCGCCATTTTCCGGCAATCCAAACACAAACACGTCTCTCGCCGGAATCTGTCTCTCTTCCGCCGTCGGCCAATCTCTGAATCTGAGAGCTCAGCGCCTCCGCCGCCGTTATGATTGCCCGGCGAGGCGCAGAGTTCGATTCGAAGACGAGGGCGAAGACGAGGATTACGGCCACAACGAACAGGTGGCGCGGCTGGAATCTTACACTCAGGCCGCCGTCGGCGAGGCGCTCATCGTTCACGCGGCGGTCGGCGGCGAGAATGTTGAAGTGCTCATCTTCAAGGTTATCTCTTCTTCCATTTGTTTCTGTGGTTATTTTTAATTAGATTAAGAATTTGGTATTTATGGTTTGAGGTTAATTTTAGGTTAAATTGGAAGTTTGGTCTAATAATTTTATTAAATTTTAATTTTGTCTCTAATAAAAATTTTGAACTAAAAATGTCTATAGATTTTCTTTTCTCGTTTCCTCTTTTTTAATAAATAATAATAGGCTTCGTCCTTTTAATAAAGAAAAACAAGTCCATTAAAATGGAACCGTTAGTAACTATTTCATGTTTTTAGTTTTCTAAAATTTTTAATTAAAACAAAGTAAATTTGTATATTAAAATTAATTTTTTTCAAATTAAATATTTAATTTTTATTCATATTTTTGAAAAAGAAAAATAGAAATTAGAAAAAAAAATAAGAAAACTTGATTTTGTTTTCTTCTACCATTCTGATTTAGAATGAGAAACGAGAAATATGAACAATTTTTAAAATAAAAAGCATGAAGTTATCAATTGAGTCCTTAGGAATCTATTACCTATTAAATACAACCTTAACAGTTTAGGAACCAATTTATAATTTAACTTTGATCCCTATAACTTGAAAGAGTTTTGACTTAATTTCAATTAAGTCCTTATGATTTTTAAATTTTCAGTTTGGTCGCTCACCTTGATTAAATCTCACAAATTATCTCTAGATCATAGTTTACCCACTAAAAAAAATATGCTTTTCTTTTACTAGTGATATGATCAACTAAACCGTCAACCAAATAAAAAATATGTGGTCATTATGATAAAAAAAGAAAAAGGCACAACATTTAATATGATATGGGTAAAGAAAATTCATCGACCAAATTGAAACCTTAAAAATTATGAAAAATAAATTGGAACTCAGTTGATGTCAAAATTGACTAAATTGAAATTTCTACGATTATAGGAATCAAAATTGAAACTATACTCGAATTACAAAAATTAAGCTCATAGTCTTGACATTACTTTTTTTTCGAGAATCAGAGTTTTCTTTTCTATGAGAAAATTTGAAAATAGAGATGGAAATGACATTATAGGGATTCTCGTCTTGCTTGAGCTACGCAACTTCGCCAGATCCATCGAGAAGCGTTCTTCCGGCGAGGGCGGTGATAAAATCCATAGATAGAATCAAAGGCCCCTTTGATCCTTCCAATATTGAATACCTTGAGAAGGGCATCACTTGGGAATCCTTCAACTTCCCCAAATAGTTCAAGTTCATATCGTTGCTTAATATACCTCTTACGTAATTGAGTAGCATTTTTCAATGTACTAAAAAAAGAAAAAAAAATCGAGTCGCATTTTGTCTATTATTACATTTTAGATTTAAATATTTTTTTTGGTCCCTGTACTTTTGATTTTTTTGCTTTTAAAAGTAATTAATTTAGTCTATATTTATAAAATTTTAACATAAATTTTATAGGCAATACAAATTCTTTAAAAAAATTTATAGCTGAAATATAATGAGCCGTACACTTCTGATCGAAATAAATGAAATTAAAAAAAAAAACGATTGAACCAAAATTGTCACTTTTTTCTTTTTAAGTATAGAGACCAAAACGAATGTTTCAGAAGTATATAGACTAAAATGAAAAACAGCTGAAGTATAGAAACTAAAATGGACCTTAGACTAAAATGAATCAAAATTGAAAGTACAGGATAAAAACTATTTAAATTTACTTTTTTTTTTATAAATATAGAAACATGGATTTGAAATGTCTCACCTATGAAATTAATAATTCTTAGCTAGCTCAGCTACCTACAAGTCCTCCTAAACATTTTCTTCTTAGTTGAAATGGGAGGAAAAATCACATTATATAATTTTTTTTTTCTTTTTTAACAATTATTCACATTGATTGGGCACAACTTCAATTGTGTAGGGACCAAATTGATATGAATACTTGGAAAATCCTATTGTTGTAATGGGAGTCTAATAACTATTTATGTAAAAGTAAAATCTTAGTGGTAAATGGTAAATATTTAGACATCGTACTTTTAGATTTAAATAATATTTTGGTCCAGTGATTTATTCTAGTTTCTAGTTTTGATTTCTTTACTTTCAATTTTTGTTTTGGTCTGGGTCTTTATGTTTTTCAAAGCGACAGTTTTTGTCTCTTTCTTTTATTTTTTAGCTCATTTTTCTTGATCACAATTTTAACATGATACTTACAAATTTTTTTGAAATGTAGTTATAAATTTGTATTAAAGGATTTCCATTATGTATAAAATTTATGTTAAAATTTTGCAACTAGAGATTCTTTTTAATTTATGGATCACTTGAAAGTATAGGGACTATAATGAAAAAAAAACTAAAAATACAGGAACAAAAATTAATCAAAACGGAAACATCGAAAGAGTATTTAAACCAAAATTTTATTTAGAAAAGTAGTTATTATTATTATTATTATTTTTTTTTATCTTTCTAATCGTATTCTACAACTCAATTTAGCAATATCTTGAAGTGTTTAGGTTACCAAGTTTGGAGCTAAGTCATTTATTGTGATTTTTGAATTTATAACAAAATTTGTTGCAGCATTATTATAGTGTAGTAAATAGTCTATTCGAGCAGAAAAAGATGACAACATTTCCTCCGAATGGCAGAGAAAGGAAAATTTTCCACGTAGCCCGCCCTTCTTTTACGAGTAATAAATAGAAAGAATACAGTATTCCTGGACCATCGGAGGACACAGTACCTCTCAATTTTTAGTGTTACCACACTACGATAGCGTTTCTTAAGTCGAGTGACACGTCGACGTGTAAGTCGATCAGAAGAGAATTTTATTTTTCCCTACCTATCGACCTAAATCACATTTTTTTTGTTTGGATTTTGAATTTTCTAACTTTTACTTACTTTTCTTCTCAAATTAAATGTGTATCATTTCCAACCCTATTTCTAAAATCACTTGTCAAAATTTTTTTTCCAATCAAATTTATAAGACTTCCAAAACTATTTTTCAATCACTTAAATTATTATTTTTTTAAAATTTTATTATTCTTTACAAAATATAAATATCCATTTACTTTTACTTCATATCCACAACTCAATCTCAAATTTTCAATAATCTCTCTTTTACCTTCAAATTCTTCATATGTATATACATACATGGCATTTTTATATAGTAAAATTTTATATTTCAAATTTTCTACCATGATTTTGTCTTATATATATGTATTTCATATATTGTTCAATTCTGTAAGTAAAGACTGGAGCTAATATAATGATTATTAGAAATTATTAATAAAATAAAGCTATCATTGAATTTTAATTTACCAATTTAAATAATTTATAACCATTTTCATCATCTTATTCTAGCATTTTCATTACAATCGACATTTTCATAAGTATATTACTATATTTTCAGATATGATGCTTAAAAGTGATTAATTATAGCCTAGTTAAGCTACAATTAAAGTATTATTTACTAACTCAAACAAATTTTAATAAAATTGAGACCTCCACATTTCGAACTTTGTACTACCTATATTCCTTTCTCATTTTAATACATCATTAAGTATATATTATTTTATTTAATGCACGTCATACTTTTATGAAAATACTCAGAAATTTTCCTCTTTTTTTTTCCTTTTGTTTTGTTTTAGTTTTTGTTTTTTGTTTTTTATTTTTTGTTTTTTGTTTTTTTGTTGTTGTGTGGATGGAACGTTTATTTAAATTGAAAAGGAGAAAAAATATTTTGGTTGAAATATTGGGGCAAAAGAGGAACTAGAAGATAATAGAAAATGGATGGTCTCGTAATCTCTCATCGCATCAGCCTAAGTCTTGAAGGAAGACCTGTTTTGGTCAGAGCAAGCTATTCCGGAGTGAGCTCTTCAGAGAGACCTGCAAAAACAAGTAGAGCACTCCGACGCTAAAGTTAGTTTAGAATCCAAGCTTAGACAGATTAGCTTCAGATAGATGTATTTATAGGGATTTGAGGAGTAGTTACCCATCCCATCGGGGTATTTCACCGTTCTATGGTCAAGTGACCTACTATGGACCGTTGGTCCGTGTTGGTCTTTGAATTTATCGCTGCCTTTGAGCATAATACTTGGAAGGTTCTCATCCGCATCTAAGTAACCAGACCCGACCTCTGAGGTCAGCCTATGATCCTTCGAGAATAGCTTGGCCTTCGACAGTTTGCCCTCCAATATTGAACTGTTAATGGAACCGCATGACGTCAAAGCTTGTCCCTTAGGAGCTCGGTCGTGGATAAGCTTAAGTACTCTTCCTATATGAGCTTAGGAGCTATTCTGTAGATGAGCTTAAGAGCTCTTCCTAGATGTACTTAGGATCTTCCATAGATGAGCTTAGGAGCTCTTCCGTAGATGAGTTTTGGAGCTCTTCCGATAGATGAACTTATGAACTCTTCCGTAGATGAGCTTAGGAGTTTTTCCTAGATGTACTTAAGAGTTCATTCGTAGATGAGCTTATGAGGTTAGCCGTATATGATCTCGCCATGTGGTAGGTCATATTTTTGCCCCCAACATTTGCCCCTACTTTGATAAGTTTGGAATCTAACTTGTCAAATGACTATTTCGTAGGTCATGCCACCAAGTTGCGAGATAGGTGTTTAGTTTAGGCTTCAATATGCCCTTCGTTGGATCCTTGTGAACGTCGTTCTGAGGAGTTTTCCCTTAGACCCTTGTGAAGGTAATCTTTTTAGAAGATATCGAACGTTGATGAAGATCTCTTTGAGGAGCTTGACCTCGAACCTTGGTGAAGTGTTTCTTTGAGGAGTTTTACCTTGGACCTTGGTGAAGGTCTTTCTTTTAGGAGTTACCTCGAACCTTGGTGAAGACCTTTATTTGAGAAGCTACCTCTGACTTTGGTGTAGGTCTTTCTCGTTCTAAGGTTTGACCGTCGGGACTTGTGCCAATTTAGATAAGTTTGGTCAAGGTCATAGGTTTGCGCAGCTTATTATTTATGTAGATCGACTCCTTAAGCTGTGATTCACGAAGGTTGCTTCATGGATGTTTGCCTTTTTAAGTTGGCGACTCATCTTTGAGGGAGGGCTTAGCTTACTAATGGGGTCCCTTCCTTTGGACTTTGATAACCTATCTTGTGGGAGCTCACCGTCAAGACTGGTATTGAGGCTAACATGAGCTATTTGGTAAGAACTCGTGATTGGGGTCATTTTGAGCTGTCTGGTGAGAGCTCATCGTTGAGATTGAAGTGAGCTATATGGTGGGAGCTCTTTATTGTGATCATTGTGAGCTATCCATTGGGAACTCATCATTGAAGCTATTGTGAGTTGTTTGGTGAAAGCTCATTCTTGGGAGTTCGTCATTGAGGTTGCTGGGAGCTCATGCTTAAGCTTGAGTTAAGCTATTTTATGAGAGCTCATTTGTGAAGTTGTCATGAGTTATAAGGTGAAAGCTCGTCCTAGATGTCGATGGAAACTCGCCTTGGAAATTGAGGTGAGCAATGCGATGTGAGCTCGTCCTTGAGGCTGAGGTGTCTTCTCACGTGAGAGCTCAACCTTTGAGCCGATTGAAGCTCATCATTGATGTTGATGGAAGCTCATCTTTGAAGTCGAGGTGAGCTAAATAATGTGAGCTCATCCTTGAGGTTGAGATAACCTCTCCCGTGTGAGCTCATCCTTTGAGTCGATGGAAGTTCATCATTGATGCTGATGGAAGCTCATCCTTGAAGTCAATGAAAACTATATGATGTGAGCTCATCCTTGGAGTCGATGTGAGCTATCTGAGTAAGTCATCTTAAATTTGAGATGACGTCTTGTGGAAGCTCATCTTTTAGTTGATGTAAGTTCATTGCATGAAGAAGTGAATTATATCTTATAGGTCATCCTCGAAGTCGAGATGACCTATTTTGTGGGAGCTCATCTTTTGGTCGATGTAAGCTCATGCCTAAGGAAGTGAACTATCTCATAAGTCATCTTTGAGGTCGAGATGACTTGTTTTGTGGGAGCTCATCTTTTGGTCGATGTAAGCTCATGCCTAAGGAAGTGAACTGTCTCATAGGTCATCCTTGAGGTCGAGATGACCTGTTTTGTGGGAGCTCATCTTTTGGTCGATGTGAGCTCATGTCTGAGGAAGTGAGCTATCTTGTAGAGGCTCACCATTGAGGCCGATGCGAGTTATCTGATAGCTTATGCATGTTTGAGGTTGAGATGGGCTCTCTCTTCGCGAGCCTTCCTTAAGGTAGAGTAGAGCTGTGTAACAGAAGCTCTTCTGATGAGCTTAACTGGAAGTTCTCCTTGCTTGAATGAGCTCAGATGAAAGCTCTCCCTTCACGTGAGAATGAGCTATCTGACGGAAACTCTCTTGATGATGATGAGCTCAAACGAAGCTCTCCCTTTATATGAGATGATCTATCTAATGG